AGGGGGCTTCCATGTGACGAGGATTCTGCTGTTCCCCAGGGCTACGGCGGAGACCTTCTGAGGAGGAGGCAGGTCTGGCAGGGGAGGCAGAGCAGGCAAGAGAGAGAGAGACCATCAGCACAAACTCAACTTCACCGCAGGCGAAGCAGCGAGGTGGGGAGGGGGCTGGAGAACAAGTCCCGTGAGGAGCAGCTGAGGGAGCTGAGGCTGGGTTGGCCGGGGGGGGGGAGTCCCCATCCCTGGAGGGGTTCAAAAACTGTGTGGATATGGCACTTGGGGACATGGTTTAACAGGCATGGTGGGGTTGGGGTGACGGTTGGACTTGGTGATCTTAGAAATCTTCTCCAACCTTAATGATTCTGTGATTCGATGACCCTGTGGACTCAGTGAGTTCAATGTACGGCTTTTACTGTGTCTCGTCCCATGTGGTGCCATGTGAAGCATAGAAATAAACTGCAACTGAAAGAAAAGGTCTTGATCTGAGGGTGATCTCTGTGCTGATAGGAATGGAGCCACGTTCCTGGCTCGTCTCGTGGTGCAGCCGTGTGAACATCCACCACACCATTTGTTCGCACCGTCCCCGAGCCCGGAGAGGGGCTGTGGGGGCAGGGACTAACACCCTGCTCCCCTGACAGAGCCACAGACGGCATCTCCACGGGGCCAAAGCTGCTGCTCTCGCAGCCAGGGCCAGGCTACCCCTTCTGTGGGAGAAAATGTTGGGAAAGTCATCGGGTTTTTTGGGTTTTTTTCCTAATCTGCAGTACAAAACCAGCATCCTTTCAGAACTATTTTTTCCAATAAATAAAACTGAGCTGAGCTCACAAAGCATTTCTTGTCCTGCTACCTCCAGGTAACCAGATGCCGGTGATACTTGGGCACCGATCCTGTCTCTGCCTGACGAAGGGGCTCACCGAACCCTCGCAGTCTGCGAGCCGAGGAGCTGCATTTCTGCCCCTGAGGCAGGGCGAGCATCCCGCTGCTGAGAAAAGGCTTTGCAGTGGCTCTGTCGATGTTTTACCGACGTCGCACCAGGACAGGAGCAGATGGAGATCTGGCTCTGCGAACGAACCACCTGAGAGCGCGGGGCTCCGTCACGGCCGGTACCGGCACAGGAAATTCGGGGCTGGGTGAGTTCGGGGAACGCTCGTTGATTTTGCTGCGTGGGTACAACAGAGTGCAGCCTCGCAGGAGGTAAAGCTTGTACGATTTCCCCTCACCGTCACCCTCCCTTCAGTCCTGCCACCTCTCTCACACAAAAAAAACCCCTTTTTGTATTTGGTGTGGTGAATTTTCTGCTGTGTCAGGTCCCTGGGTGGCTGACGGCGTGGCTTACGCCTGCGTCGGCGGAAGGGGTTGAGGTGAAATTACAGTGGGGCAATTTAACGAGCCCTGGGACCTCAGCAATAACTGGCTCTGCAGATCAGAATCACAGAAAGTTAGGGCTGGCAGGGACCTCTGTGGGTCACCCAGTCCAACCCCCTGCCCAAGCAGGGTCACCTACAGCAGGCTGCACAGCACCGCGTCCAGGCG